ACCGGGTTTTTCCACATGCTTAAATGGTAACTCATCAACAATAATCATGTGAATCAATGCCTCTCTAACATCATTCAAGTTAATAATCCTACTCCCACACTTTAATTCACTACTCTCATGTTCTTGATCAAAATACAATTTAGTTTGCTTTTCTTTGCCCTTTTCTTTTTCTATATTAATAGGATTACCGAGACATGATTCTGCATGGTTTTTAACATTTTTTGAACCATTAAGATTACCATCAGCAGCAAAAGTTTTAGGACAGAACTTACATTCAGCTCGTAGTTTTCCATTCTCGACGTACTCTAAGTAATATTTCCAATACTCAGCTTTCCTCTTACTTTTTCTGTTCCATATATATTCCCGCCCCGCTTTTAGCTTCTTATCAGGAGGCAAAGTAGATTGCAATTCTTCCATATCCTTTTCAGATAGTGGCTGTGACGTTTGTTCAGAAAAAGAAGCAGACCGTTTGGATTGAGAGCTCTCCATCTACAATATAATTATATACAATATAAGTAATTTTAAAGTAACAATTATATACACATATCATTTTATAAAAAAATTTAAGATCAACTTACATTGCAAGAATAAGAATCCGTGGTTCCTTGACTTCCTTCACTCCCTGCAAGAATAAAAACAAAAATAAGAATTTGATCAGCTAAATAGGAAGAATTTTCAAATTGGAGGATATTATTGTTTGGTTTCTGCAACCTTAAGTTGAATATAATTTTGTCTTTGTATCAAGTCTCTCTCTAACATACATCCTTTTCATTTCAGCTACCTTGTAGCTTCTTTGCTTTTATTCTCAAGCCAATCTCTATTTTAGTCTTTGCAAATTTCAACGACTGCATTTAAAACAAGAAAAAACATACTACTATATTCAAATTTAGATACATTATTCATGGAAAAAGATGTTGCAGTAGAAAATTAATGGAGGAATTATACATACAGTATGTTTGTTCAAGTCATAAATCCACACTATTCAAGACAAGGAATTATACATACGTGCTTTAGTCATATGTTAATTTGTGTAGCTTAACTTAATCCTACACGAATAAAATTTCACCTAAAACAGAACATCAGATTAATAGGGTTGATTATCGATATACTTGTCTAATTAATCACAATAAAAATTAAACTCGTTGATTATCACGATATGGCCTATTATTAACAACATGATATGGCCTATTATTAACACGATATGGCCTATTATTAACAACAATAAAAATTAAACTGCAAATTTGTACTTAGCAACATGATATGGCCTATTATTTCAGGTAAACATAATTCTCTGCCATTTGATCACGAGTTGATTATCACTCAACAATGCATGTATGGTAAGCTGTAGAAACCTCCGGGATTTCTGTAACATGTTGCAGATATCTTGGAATTGGAGGATTAGCCACTTGTGTGACTCCTTCCAAAATTTGTACGACATTTACCATGGACAGCCTATCTTCCTCATTTTCTTGGATACACCAGCCTGCAACTCTGCAAGTCCTGATTAATTCTTCAACCACTCCAGAACCCCCTCCAATCCAAAACACCACCCAGCCACCCCGAAAACCCATCTCCACTCTCGGTGACCCTACCAGCCACCACGAAAACCCCATCTCCACTCCCGACAACCCCATCAACATTCACAATTTTCCATCCAACCATCCCAAAAACCCCAGCTCACCACCCCAACCCACCCCACCCCACCCCACTGCCACCCCTTAACCCTTAACCCCCACACACCAGAACCGTACCACCGTAACCCCACCATAACCCCACCCCAACCCACCCTACCACACAAATTTTCGCACTAAATTAATCTTAATAATCATAATAAACACAAAATTTCGAACTAAATTTCGCACTTGAACCCTAAACCCTAAACTTCTTAATTCTTATGAACCCTAAACTCAAAAAAACCAAAACAAAAAAACAGAAATTCGAAAGGGATGAACTAAAAATAAGAAATTCAACATGCAAACATCAAACAATCATTAAAAGCAATTGAAAATTTGAAACAAGAATAAACATATAAATTCTCACACTTAATTTATTATTTCGAATTAAAAATACCAAAATTATAAGCAAATACTTACTAGATATTATCGGTGTGCATCGCCTGAGAGAATGAGGGAGGTGTCGGCAGTGGGCGGTGGCCGGAGCGAGTTGGGACAGCCGGACAGCCGCGTTGAGAAGTTGAGATTGGGGGAGGCTGAGAGTTTGGGCTTAGGGAGTTAGGGTTAGAACTTAAACATTTGAAAGAGATTGAGGGAGGCTGAGACTCTGAGAGAATCAGATATTGTTTTTTTTTTTTTTTTTTTTTTTTAATTACGATTTCCCGGGTTTCAGGTCCGGACCTGAAAACCCCGGGTTTGGACCGGGTCCGGACCGGGACCAGGAACCTGGATTTTTAGGAACCGGGACCGGACCTGAATCAACAGGTCCGGGTCAGGTCCGGTCCGGTTCAGGTCGGTTCAGGTCCGGGCCAATTTTTGTACACCCCTAACTCCTACTGCTACTGCTACTGCTACTACTGCTACTCCTACTGCTACTGCTACTGCTACTGCTACTGCTACTGCTATTGCTACTGCTACTGCTGCTGCTACTGCTACTGCTGCTGCTACTGCTACTGCTGCTACTGCTACTAGTGATGCTACTGCTACTGCTACTACTGCTACTCCTACTGCTACTGCTACTGCTACTGCTACTGCTGCTGCTACTGCTACTGCTGCTGCTACTGCTACTGCTGCTACTGCTACTAGTGATGCTACTGCTACTGCTACTGCTACTACTGCTACTCCTACTGCTACTGCTACTGCTACTGCTACTGCTACTGCTACTGCTGCTGCTACTGCTACTGCTGCTACTGCTGCTACAGCTACTGGTGATGCTACTGCTACTGCTACTGCTGCTGCTGCTACTACTGCTACTACTACTACTACTACTACTACTACTGCTGCTGCTACTACTACTCCTACTTCTGCTGTTACTATTTCCTGCTACTGCTGTTACTACTGCTACTACTACTACTACTGCTACTACTACTACTACTGCTACTACTACTACTACTCCTGCTACTACTACTAATGCTGCTACTACTTCCTGCTAATGCTGCTACTACTGCTGCTACTACTACTACTACTACTGCTACTACTACTACTGTTGCTACTACTACTGCTACTGCTGCTACTACTGCTGTTACTGGTGCTGCTACTACTACTGCTGCTGCTTCTACTGCTGCTACTACTACTACTGCTGATACTACTACTACTACTGCTGCTACTACTGCTACTGCTGCTACTACTGCTACTACTACAACAACTACTGCTGCTACTACTGCTACTACTGCTGCTGCTACTACTACTGCTGCTGCTACTACTGCTACTACTGCTGCTGCTACTACTACTGCTGCTGCTACTACTGCTACTGCTACTACTACTACTACTACTACTACTACTACTACTACTACTACTACTACTACTACTACTACTACTACTACTACTACTACTGCTGCTGCTGCTGCTGCTGCTCCTACTACTACTACTACTACTACTACTACTACTACTGCTGCTACTACTGCTACTATTACTGTTGCTACTATTACTACTACTACTGCTACTACTACTGCTGCTGCTACTACTGCTACTACTACTGTTGCTACTACTACTACTACTAAGTGCATATACGATTTAGGTGAGTGAAAAAATAAATATATATGTACCATATATAACATATGTTAATAGTAGAAAGATAAAAGATAACGTTTTACTTATATTTATTTCACAAAAATTTTAAAATAAAATGATTTAATGAGTAGTAATGATTTTACTTATAAATTTGTCTTAATCATATATTTTTTACCCTAAAAATAATAGTAATATATAAATTACTACTTGAAAACAGCCTATTTTTTTTTAAATATAAAAATGTATGGAAAGATTTGAAAAATAATTCAACTCAATGAACTAAAAATCAATACCCACATAAAATGTTTCTACACATTATGATTCTAATATCAAATGTTTAACAAAGAAGTTGTTATTAGTTGTTATTATTATTATTTATTTATTTGAAAGAATTGTTATAATTATTAGAAATTATTAATTAATAATATTATTAAATATTAATTCTTAATAGTTTGAATTATTAAATATTATTATTGATAATTATTATTAATTATTATTATGATTAATAAATATTAATTATTATTAATATTAATAATTATTAAAATTATTTTTTAATATTAATAATTATTATAATTATTTAAAATAATAAATTATTATCATCAATACAATATTTATTATTATTATTGAATATTAATTATTATTGTTGTTATTATTAATTATTATTTGAATATAGAGCAGAGCCGAGCAGAGCAGAGCAGATTTCTTTTGAGCAGAGCAGATTTGATTTAAGCAAAGCAGAGCATAACAGCTCTAAAGAATGGGGCCTTAGAAGTTGTTCAAACTAAGAGTGTTATTTAATTCGATATTACTCCGGTCGAGATAATTCACCTGCTCTTAGGGAGTATGTTATTGGTGCAGCTACATCTTGTTTGATTTTGGAGTTATTTTGGTTTCTTTGTACGAGCATCACCCTCTTTTGCTGGTTCTTTGATAATTCTTTCTAACTCTAGATAATTCTACTTATCTAGTTTTCTACATATTACCTCTGTTTTCTATCTTGTGCAGCAAATGGATATTATTTGTCATTTGTTGCACATAATAAAAAACGGAGGTAGTACTATTTTTTTTTTTTTTTTACATCACATACTACATATTTTACAAGATATATAAATATATATTTCTAGATTCTTCTAGTTGCTATAATTTAACGTAGTGAACTAGTAGTCTAGTAGTGATAAAAGATAGTAGTATATTCAAAATTGTTTCATAAATCCTACTTCGTATTAACTTATACAGTAGTTAGTAATGTGTAGAACATACGTAAGTATATACAAAGTATATGATATGGTATAAAAGAACAAAACAATATCTTCTAAGCTAGAAAGAGGCTATGTTCATCAGACTGACTTTTGTTTGAGATAACTGCTTGCAAATATTTTCCAAGCCACTTTCAATGCCTTCCATAACATCCGCCAACGCCTTCAATTTCTTCACTGAAAAACACAATTTCTCGTCGTTTACAGATTTTCCTGAAACCAACTCGTGCAACACCATGTCCACATCGTTTATTTCATTTCCACTTTCACACTTGCCTCTTCCTTTGTTCATTATCTTAGAAACAAGGGACCTTTTTGGCTTAGACACCGGCATTGACAGGAAAACCAAGAGCGATTGAAAGACAGATAAGTTTATGATGCTAACACATCTAAGCGACTTGATCACTGTCGAAATTTGACAGTCCTCTTCTCCTAGGACCTCAGAATTTAGTAGATTCAATGACGGAAGAATATCTCTGGCTTTTCTCATGACTTCTTTCCTCAAAAAAGTATAATTTGCAACATCGCTTCCTATTTTCAAGCTTTCTTCTCTATGTGTAAGAGTGTTTTTAAGCTTTTTAGTGACTACCCCTTGCTGCAGCACGATCTCGTTGATCAAGCTGCAGACATTTAGTAGACTCGAGCATCCCTTTAACAATTCGCCAACATGTTTATCATGTTGGCGAAGTAAGAGAGCTTGTTGAGTCATTGGAAGACTCAAGGCTTGGTTAATGCACCTATACAACTCTACCAGCCCGGACACACCAATACTGATGCTTTCCGAGGCTGATGTTGATGCATCTTCTATGGTACTAAGCCTATTAAGCTCGTTTTCTATTTTTTGGTTGATAGGATTTATCTTTGATGGTATACTCAATGATCTAATTTGGTGGGATTTATTCAATTCCATCGAAAAACTAACCATGATTATACTTCACTCTGTTTTTCTCTCTTTTTTTTTTTTGGTATTTTTACTTATTGCTCGAATTTGAATTGAACAATGAATGAGAATATGAAATAACACTCAAAATTTGTTATATATATAGGAGATGGTACCAACATGACAGATAATAATCTTGGATTGTTAATAAAATGCTGAGTTTGTTAAACAGATCTGGTTCCCTTGTCCCTTACTTTGCTTTAAAAAGGTTTTTACAAATCTGATTATTGTTCCTAATTTAAAGAAAACAACTTGATTTTGATATATATTCAGTGTTATTCAATAATTTGTAGATGTTTATTTTAATAAAGCGGTGTATTAAACTAATTGAAAGTAATTTTTTAGTAAAAGTTGTAATAAACTCTCTATTAGTGCTGAGACCATTGCTCTAGGAAGGGTCTGGGAAAGAGCAGACATAAAATTATGCACGAGTATGGTTGTCTTTGTCACCTTCTTGACGAAGGTTCCACAACTCTCACTTAACTTTGTAGTGTAGAGAACTAGAGGTGTTAGAAACCATTCTGACCCGAAAAACCATCCATTTCCTACTGTATTCAACCTAATTTGAACTCCATACCCAAAACTCATGTGTCACCAAATTGAACTCAACCTAATACCATCTTTAATGGTGAAACTCAACTTTGAATATTGAAATACAAAATGAATTGTTTTTTTTTTACTTCCAACAGTGATACCCAATCCAACTCTCAATTTAGCAACTTTTGTGAATTCTAATTATCCAATTGTGAGACTTTCTAAAATATACTAATGTGACTTTCAATTTATAAGCCACCAAATCATATTATAAGTTTTTTTTAGAAAAAAATTAAAATTAAAACTTAAATAAATTACAAAACAGATTATAATATTGATAAGGGTCTACACTTTTTCTCAAATGAGACTCAAAGTTGAGTATCTAAAATTAAGAACTTTCTTTTAGTGTTGCTAAGTTTATATACAAACTTATTGGTATTCTTTGCAAAAAATACTCTCTCACTCCTAAAAAAGCTCACTCAAGTCTCATCATTAAAGAGGGTGTAATGTGAATTTGAATTTAGACCTTAAATGAAATAAACGCTAAACCAATTTGACCAATTGGTGAACGCTGGTCTTGAGACCATGTAGAAATTGATGGTCCTGCAACCGAACGACATCGTTTCATGCTATGAAATGTAAGTAAGAGCAACGTGAAGTCACCAAGAGCAATGTCTTGTCAAATCAGTATATATAAATACTTGTTTTAAATTTATTTTTGTTAAAAAATAATACAAAATTCATTAAATAATATAATGCCTTTTATTAAATAGGGAGAAATATAAGAGAGATTGTTAGAGAAAATCTCAGTATATTTCTATTCCATATAATGGGGTATATATATATACAATATAATTAGGTTTTCTTATATAAGAATATAAACCCTATATCTATCTAGAATATTCTGGAATGATACAAGGAGTATTATGGGCATCCACACAATATTTCATAACACTCCCCCTTGGATGTCCATTATCGAAGACTGTGCCTTGTTAAAACCTTATTAGGAAAAAACCCTGTGGGATAAAAACCTAATGAAGGAAAAAGAGTACAACATTCTTCGTAATACGCTCGAGATGCTGCCTCATTAAAAACCTTATCAGGAAAACCCAAATGTGGGACAAAAACCATGTTCAAAGGAAAAAGAGTGCAGCGCGTATTTCCTCCCCCTGATGAATACATAACTTGAGATCTTCTAGTGTCGCAGCAATGAATCCAATATGTTGGATATCTTCTAATAAGTTGGAAAAATATCACTTGTTGACCTTCGATCCTCCTAATTAGAAATTGTACGTTCAAGTCTTCATGCGGACATCTAAAGTGTCTTCATTTCACCATATATGTGTTTATCTCTAATATCACCATTCCAAATCTCTATTTAATAGTTGATTAAAAAGGTTAAACTCATGCGGTTATGACTTCTTCTGGAAGTCGTTAATAATAAATATTGGTGATCATTATTTGATTTAACATTCATTAATAATAATTTGATGACAAAACTTGATATTTTTTAATGGCATTCTTCAATCTCATATGAATTATAATATAACATATGTAATTATGTACGCTAATCATGGTTCTTCTGGACCATGAGAAAACATTCTCGCGCATAAGTATTCCACTGATATTATTTAGATGTTTCATGATTGACATGATAGATCTCTTGTAAATATAAATAGTATATCTTACTAACTCTCATATGCTCAAAATTCAGGTTGAGATGTCAATAATGTAGTCACATAGACTTTTCAAAAGTTTGATAATAATTGTAATATTCAAGACATAAAAATTTGTAGGGTTGGGCATTTAAAACGTCGTATATAAGTTCTTCAGGAACTCTTCTTACATGATTCATAACATGTTATTAAATAAGTGTTATCAATAATTTCATTACAATTATAAGCCCATTGGAATATAAATACCTTTATCTAATTTTTCATCAAAGTTGTAAATATGTCTTATTATACTTTGAATGAACATTCACATACACCACAGTTATTGTAAGAAATTAATCCATGCAATATGAGATGTATAAAACATGATAACTTATTAAACAAAATATACAATGAGTAATGCATGTGACAACTTCCTACATATGCAATAAACCATTAACCTATGACTCACATGCACATGAATATAAGACTCAAAATGATGCAAGACACTATACAGTGTGGATTTAAAAATCCATATTTCATTGGACTTCGGGTCCATGATAAACTTATGATCATTACCATTATGTCGACATCAAAATGTACATATATTTCAGATCCCTTACTTATTAGTCCATTCCATTATGCATATGCATATTATTCATCGGTTCCATTATGTACCGGTATCATAAAATTCCTTTAACTTACATTCCGCATGCTATTTTACTATGATATCTGAATATTTTTCTCATTGGTACCATCATAACTTTTCATACATCATAGGCCATCTATTATAATAATTCAGATATCTATACCTCTTTTAGGGTATTTCATACACTATGGTATTTATATACTATTACACTATTAGTGTCAACTGCACTACCTCGCCAAATATCATATCTATTAAACATATCTTTATTTTGGAACCGATGATACACAACCTACACTTCAGGTGTAGTGATTCAAGTACAATTGGCAAGATTTTATCTTAATGTATACACATAATTAATATGACCAAAATGTATCTTCAACGTTATGCAACATGATCCACAACTGAATACAAATCAAATCATAAAGGTGCAACATATCTTGATAATATATATACAAAAAATGGCATATATATAAATTTTCAAACTACCATTATAGGGATCATAAATATTCTTTATTTATTCACTTTTTTTTTTATTTTCCCAACTTTTGCTATTTCTTCTCCCCCTAAGTTGGTAAAATATCTCTTTTATAGGGGCGTCTAATTCTATACCAACTTAGTATATAAATTCGCATTAAAATTCATTTCATTGGGAGGATCACAATCAAAATTTATTTCTTCTGGAGAATTTTGATGAAGAATCATGTATTCATTAACTTTAAAATTCATGTGTATTTATTATTAAATATTCAATAATATTTTCTCTTCTGGAGATCAATGTCAATGGGGAGACATATGTTGTGCAGTTGTACGTTTTTCTTTCTTCTCCTATTTCATATTGTAGACACCTAAAAATGTCTCCCCAAAACCAAACCCGATGATGAACAACCTTTCACCGCCATTATTGGTCGTGTTGAGTATTTAATCTTTGGAGTGCTTAAATCCATATTTCTATTTCATAAACCAACCCAATTCGTAGCCCATTTCCCCAAACCATAATTTATTTTCCCTTTTTTTCGTGCCTTTAAACCCAAAATAATTCATTTCATCATTCATTTCGTGTCTTTTTTATAAAAACGTTTGATCCAGTTTATTTTAGTCCATAATATGGGTCCAATTATTAAATAGTTTTATGGGGATTGAAAAGAGATTTCCAACGATATATTATAAGCCCAAATCCGAGTTATAACGAATAAGTTATGGCCAAAATATTAAACCGAGCTCAAACCGAACCTAAGCCCACCTTGTCTACGACCCAATCATCATGTGGAGGGTCCAAATGATTTAATCCAATTCCTAAACCAATTAGGATTAATTGGAAGATTCTATAAGTTTCTAAAAGATCCTAATTATCCTTTATGAAAAGATAAGATTAAAGAGTTTGAAATTGAATAAAACTTTTCTTTTTGAAAATCCTATTTCTATTCGAATTGAAAGACGTTCAAAGATATACAGTTATTATTTTCGTGCCTCATAGTTTTTATCCAAGTTTTATATGGTTGGATAGACCTTGAAATTATCTTTCCAATGATATATTATAATATCAATTCCGAACTGTAACGTAAAAGATATGAATAAAATGTCAAACTCTATCCAAAACAGACATCATCTCACTATTTCGGCCATATCTTTTATTCTATAAAATATTTTAATCTGATTCTAATTGGATTAGAAATAAGACTTCAAGATCTTTCCAAATATATCTTATTCATCTTATTCCGACTTCTGGATCAAAATTAGATAAAAACAAAAACCGCAAAAACTGCAGTCTATCGAGTTTTATTCCGATTTAATTCGTATCTTATCTTAATTCTTCGACCCCTATTTTTTCTCTATTAATAGAGGTCATATCACCCCTTTTCAATAATAAACAAGCATCATGATCAAATCATTCTCTTCCTCTCTTTTACACCAAAAATAATTCTATTCTCTCTCCTATATTCTAATTCTTAAACCTATATTCCTAATTACACCATTCTTTCCTTAAGCACTCCAAGGAGTCCATACTTAACCCGAGTTTCCGTCCTTAAACCAAGGCGTAAAAGGTAAACATAATTGAGGATTTGGACCAAATCAACTCTACTTTTTAGTTTAATTTAATTTTAATTTACTTTATATTTTTTTTATTGAAGTTACTAACACTTTATTCATGA